TCAAGACAATAAGCAAGCTGGGTATTTGTAGCTCACGCCTCTAGTCCTAGCTAATCAGAAGGTTAGGATCCATAAGATCTTCATTTGAAGGCAGCCCAGACAGAAAAGTCTTTGAGACTTCATCTCCAGGGCTGGAAAGGTGGCTCAGTGGTAGAGTACTTGCCTCTCATGCATGAGGCCCTGGGTTCGATTCCTCAGCACCACATAAGCAGAAAAAGCTGGAAGTGGTGCTGTGGCTCAAGTGGTAGAGCACTAGCCTTGAGCTGAAGAGCTGAGGAACAGTGCCCAGGCCCAGAGTTCAGGCCCCATGACCGAAAAAAAAAAAAGAAAGAAAAAAAAGAGAGACTTTATTTCCAAAATAACCAGCAAAAAGCAGGGCTTGAGACATGGCTCAAGTAAGAGAGTGCCAGACCAGTTAGCTTGAGGTTCTGAGTTCAAAACCAAGTATTCTCTTAGAGAGGATAGGGTGGGAAGGGAATAGAGAAGAAAATTACATGGTAGAACATTGATTTCTTAGCTCATGGCTAAAGCAATTAGAAATGAAGGCTAAGAAATGGACCTGTATTTAACCTGTGGTGATGATAAATATAGTCTTACATATGAAAAAAATTACTGTCATACAACATTAATTGTGTGTGTTATTAAATGTGGCACATTTTTATAATATATTTTTTTTGATTGCTATTGTAATCTTTCCTGTTACAAAGAGTCTTCTGTCTGTTTTTCCTTGTAAAACTGTGGTAGCATATAGCTTTAAAAATGTAAACAGAGTATTTAATAGCATTTGTTCTTAATTAAATGGAATTATATTTGCCATCAAAAACTACTGCGCATAAAAACTCAAGCTAGTTAGTTTTGGGAGTAAGTTTGGACATTTTACATTCAGCATTATTTTGTATTTTGTTATGTCATTTGCTGCTTTAACAATTTGATTAGTGGGAATGGGAAATACACCAAGCACAGGAAGGTACTTTAAATCCTTTCACTTTTACTGAAGCTTCAAGGCAAGTAGGAACCCATTGCTTCTGCTTGTTTCCAAAATCACATAGGGCAAAGTAATCAGTTGTAGTTCCTATGGATAATTACGAGTTGACTTCACTGAGAAGTGAGCAACACTATACTTAAGCAATAAAAAATTTATCAGACATACAACTTCTCTCCTCCCTCCACAGCCCAGGGGGAAGAATCCTCAACAAAATATCATTTTAATGAGCTCATTTCAGTGGTGCTAGATTTATGGGAGACACCAGGAAACACTGATTGCAATTGCTGTCTCTGATTGTTGCTCCAGACTTTATTGGTGCCATATTGAGAAAAGTGCTGGGATGAAAGTTAGAAGGGAAAGTGGTCAACAGGACTGTTAGACTGTAAAAGTGACCTCTTCTTAAGGTGTCCATTCTCAGTGCTTTTAAAAAAATGCCTCAAAATCATTGTCTTTGTAGCTTAAAATGATTTTTCCTTAAGGTTATATAATAGATGATTTGAACGGGAGAGGGGCACGTTAAAAAGAACTTTTAAAAATTATCTTTAAAAAGTTGTAAAAAAGAGTTGTCATTAAACAAAGCAATTTATGAATACAATGCATCTTGATCAATGTGATCTCTTTCAATTTTCTTACCCCCCTCTTTGACCCACTCCTCCCCTAACTTTTCTTAATTTTGCTGTATATAAAATGGATTCTTGACTACATTCTCCCCCACTTTGCCCCTTTGTCTCCCCCTCTTCTTTTGCTCTCCCCTCTTTGTAGGTACACATTTCTGGTGCTTTTGTTGGACTTTGACTTTGTTTTTCGAAAGAAGTACACTAAAAAGTTGTATTGATTTTTTGTTTGCTAATTGTTGTGTCTTGCCGTTAGGAGGCCACATTGGATTGAAGGCTCCCTGAAGATTTTAGGTTTGACAGATACAAATACATGATTTTTGTATTCTCATGTCAGTATTCTTTTGCTGACTCAATCTGGTTATCAAATAATTTAGCATTATTTTTTAGTTTGTATGCTCCTATTATTCATGTTACATTATTAGGTGGTAGTGATGTTACATCATCACTATTTTATGCATCCTCAACATCTTTGTTATATGTACTTGACTTTTCTCACTACTGCATATAATGTTATTGTATATCAAAACTAAAGGAGAGAGCAGCAATCATTTTCTGAAAAGGGTCAAGTGATAAATAATTTCAGCTTTGTATGTCTTGTAGTCTCCGTCTTACTACTGACTCCTGTTATTATGTGTGATGTAGCCATGGACAGCATGTAAATGAGGGAGCATGATTGTGTTTTAGATAATTCTTACTTACAAAGCAGGTCAATGGATCTGTTTTGCCTATGAGCATCTTGCTTTATGTCCAGGCTCTAGGGCAGAGTTCACTAGCTCTCTTGTAGCATGAAGGAAGGTACTACAAGTGAGTGAAGGGGTTGCCTGGATGTTATTACTAGCAGAGAACATACACTTTGTTGAAAAGGGGCAGCCACTTCCTACCGATAGATCTGGTTCAGAAATACCAGAGCTTGTAATTCAAGAATAGCTGGGAATTTGGATTTTTATACAAAATGCCTTGCACAGTTGTTAACTAATTTAGATTTGTTAAGTGTATACAGTATAGGTGAGGTTGTGGTTCACAAGTTCTAGTTCAGCAGATTTCATTGTTTTGCATTCTGTAAGAAAAACAAGTGCCAGTGAATGCCTTCAGACATGAATAATACCAGTGTACTGTTGGTGCTGCCACTGCCAACTCTTCTAGTGTCTGTGGCAGACAACAGTCATTGACCAAACACTTCAGCCTGGAGATACTTCTGTACTAGGGCTCCTGGAAATTCTTTACCAGGGTTCAAAAAAACAAAACAAAACAAAATGACCCACAACCAGCAATTTAGCATCTTCCCTGATATGGAAGATGTTTAGCATCCTCTTTCAGAGGAATCTCTTTACAAATATTTTTGGGATTACTTAGGAAGTGGCCTTAAACTTACTGTGTGTATTCTAAAGACATCTAATCAAGAGATACTCAATTAAAAATTATAGGAGAAAACATGTGTTAGAAAGGAAAGAAGCTATGTACCAGAGTAGGATTCTGCTACCATGATGGTATTAGATTTTAGATTTAAATTTAAGGAACTGAAGAATATCCAAAGTTGGATATGTCCTTAAAAGCCATCTAGCAGCATTCCTCCTATGCAGAGACTATGAACTTACACTTTCTGGTCTGTTGTTTTTCACTATATTTTGTGCATAGTAATATGAATGGGCAGAGAGAAGAGTTTCTTTTTGTTGTTTCTCATTCTTTCCTTCTCTGACAGCTTTTGGCCTTTGTGTGTGGTTACATGTAGAGTAAGATGTTCATAATTAGAGATCCTGTGTCCTATCAATGTATAAGAGCTCTTTATGTATTAAGATAAACATGCTCTGATGATTCTTGTTTTTATTTCCATGTATACAGTATTCTCTTCATCTCTGCAGTTTCATTTCCCTATGGTTAACTATAGTCTGAAACTCTTAAATGAAAATATTCAGTATATAAACAGGTCATAAGTTTTCAGTTGTATGCCACTTCTTTGGGTAGCATATGAAATCTTCATGTCATCTTCCTCCATCTTACCCAGGACATGGTCATCCCTTGGTCTGCTGTTAATGCAGGCTGTATACAAATCTGCCCTTTAGTCACTTAATAGCTATCTCAGTTAACACATCAGTAATGACTAAACTGCAGTGCTTGTGTTTAAGTGAGGGCACTGAAATATAGGACCAGTGTTTGTTCATGTCTCTCATTTTGTCTTTATTTGCTCTGTTAGGCTACTCCAGAGGGCACCTTTGTGTTGACCATCTCTTCTAGAATGATGCTAAGTCTTGTGATGTTAGACCTCCTTTTCTGTTTCTTCTTCTTTGTTTTCTCCCTCTCTATTTCTTAGCTTTGACAAGGTTCCTACTGTTTCCCTACTGAAATATGAGCTTTGGGTGAGGCAGATCTATATTTTGTCATGTAGAGAAAGTAGTCACCTTTTTCTATTTAGCTGAAAGGAAAGGAAAGGGAAATGTAAGAATGAAAGGAACTGTATTTTTTCAGTTATTTTTGTGTTACCACTGTGATGATTCATAATTTTAGTTTTTGCTTTGATCTGTGAATTTCATTGATTTTAAGAATAAGTTTTTGGGGGCTGGGAAGGTGGCTTGGTGGTAGAGTGCTTACCTTGCATGCAGGAGGCCCTGGGTTCGATTCCTTAGCACCACATAAGCAGAAAAAGCCAGAAGTGTCGCTGTGGCTCAAGTGGTAGAGCGCTAGCCTTGAGCTGAAGAGCTAAGGGACAGTGTCTAGGCCCAGGGTTCAGGCCCCATACTGACCAAAAAAAAAAGTTTTACTGGGTCATGGGATATTACTACTATTTTCTTATGTTTAGAAATTTTTATTCCTTTTTCAAATTTCAGATTGGTATGTATATGTGTTTCTTTTTTACTTTTGATACATATTGATTTCCATGAAAAGAACGTAGAAACTTTCTTTTTCCTATATTCTTATTTTAAAGAAATTACCCAATTCTTAATTGTTTAGTAGTTGAGTTCTTTTAATTTCTCTGGGCTTTTTGTTTTCTTGAGAGAATTCTTTGATAACTTTAATTTATGCTTCGTTTAGCTCTTCTCTTTTTTCCTAGATTGATAATACTGTCTTAAGCATTTTTGCTTTTTGATACAGGGTTTTGATACAGGCTATGTAGCTCAATCTGGCCTTGGATTCTAGCTCCTCCTGCCTCCTGAGAGCTATGATTATAGGTGTGCCACTATTATCCCAGCCAAAATAAACTTTTATCTTCCTTAGTATCCATGTTTAGTTGCTCATTATTTTGTTTAAAGTTCTTTGACAAAATATCATGTTAAACATATTCTAGTATGACATAAAGATGTCATTAAAAGGAAATAATTCACTTAACATATGTTAAGATAACAATTATAAAACCCAGAAGTTCAGATTTAACATTTCTTTTCTGATTATTTTATTCTCTACAGATTCTGAAGAAGAAAGTGAGGATGAGTCTAATCTTGAAGGCAGAGATCCTGATACTTGGCACGTTGGTTTTAAGATTTCATGGGACATAGAGACACCTGGTTTGGCAATACCCCTTCACCAAGGAGACTGCTATTTTATGCTTGGTAATGTTGAGAATCAAAATTATATCATTGTTCTCGTGTTCTCTATGTTTGAGTTTAAGATTACTGTCACATATTTTGAATATGTCTTTTGAAATAAACTTTTGAATAGTGAAACTTTTTTGTGAGAACACATAGGTAGATGTTGATTTTTGTTTTTGTTTTATAAGATACTGCTGAATTTTTATTCTTATTTTTTACTTCTGTTGGTCCTGGATCCTGAATTCAGGGTTTGTCCCCTCAGGTTTTGCCCTCTTCTCTACCCCCAGGATTATAAGGTGTGAGCTGTTGGCACCCAGAAAGATACTGCTGAATTTTTATTTTTGTATTCATATAGTACTGAGAAACAAACCCAAACTGTACAAATTCTAGGCAAGTAGGGTCTCTAAAGAAAACAAAAAACTGAGAGCACAGAAGCTCTGATGTGCTAACAGACTATGTTCAGGGTTCTTCACTAGAGCTACTAAATTATCCAAGGCAATTTAAAAACACTTTTCTTCATGGTTTTGGTAGTGAGAAAGTTGTCTTCTAGTTTTATGTATTTTATTTTTACAGTTTTTCCCAGTGCTGGGGCTTGAATTCAGGACCCAGGCACTATCCCTGAGCTTCTTTTGCTCAAGGCTAGCACTCTACCATTTGAGACATAGTGCCACTTCCAGCCTTTTCTGTTCATGTGGTACTGAGGAATTGAACCCAGGGTTTCATGCATGCTAAACACTCTACAACTAAGCCACATTCCCAGCCTTGTCTTCTAGTTTTGAAGTGACTTTCTACTCAGAAACTGTTGGCCTTACCACAGGGTCTTTCTCTCTACTTCATTTAGTTCTTTAGGAAGTGATATTTCAGCTGTGGTTAAGCCTAAGCACTTGAACTTTTTCTTTCTTCTTTGTTCTAAATGTGTGTGTGTGTGTGTGTGTGTGTGTGTGTGTGTGTGTGTGTGTTTAGGAGCTGTACTTATTTTGTAGTGCACACTATATGAACACTTATCTGTCTTTTAATTACAAAGCTGCTCAGGCTTATTTTCTCCTTGGCCCTGGCTTCTGACTATTCAAGATTTATCTCCTATCTGCCTAGGGAAATATATTGGTATGTTGGTTTTAGAGCCAAGAAGAACCAGGGCTCAAGCCCAGTGTTTATGGTAAGAATTAATTCCACTTAATTTGGTATTTGCCCAGTTCACTATATTCCAGGTACTATGTAAGGTTTTAAGGGATTTATTAGAAGTGTGTAAATCTTGCTCCTTGGTTTCTAAAAATTCAGAGGATGGAATATCTCTTCAGTACTTTCCAAATTTCAGTTCTATACACATCAGTTTCTAAGCTTTTACCATACTACCTATAGTGGAAGTAGCTTATGACTCCTAGCTCTATTACTTACTATTTGTCTTGAAATAAACTTACTCTTTTTGACTGAAAAAATTATTATTTTTTATTTAATATATATTTTTTATTATTTTATATTTTATACAGAGGGGTTACCGTTACATGAATTAGGTAATGAGTACATTTCCTATTGAGCATTGTTACCCCCTCCTTTGTTTTTCTACTACTACTCCTCCTTCCCCACTTCTCCAATTCTTCTTCCCCCCCAAGTTGTAAAGTTTGTTTTCAAAATAGTGTCTTGTACATCTCACTGTCACAATGGGTCAACCTGTATACTTGTTGAAAAAAATTATTTTAAAGGAGATTTTGTATAATTTTAAGTAGAAAAACATTATCACTTGGCACAGCTGGAAGTATAATGTAAATATGAATATAGAGAAACTAAAAATTATGTGTGTGCTTATTTTCTTTGCTGGAATAGTAATTTTTATTCTGAGTTCTATTCTTTGTTAAAAAGAGAGATAAGAAACATACAGAGAAGTTTTACATGTGTATTGGGACCAATCTGAAACTTTCTCTTTAATGACTGTAGGTAAACTGGAAGGTCAGGATATAGAGACTTTGATCCAGTGTGATCTAATGGTACTTAGTACTGTATCCCTTTACCAGCACATTCTTCTCATGTGGTCAGGATTCCTGCATTGGTTGAAACCTAGTCATACTCTCTTATTTCTTGTTTGGGTGTTACTTTACAGTTTACAAACAAGTTTCTTTTAAGCAAGCTTATCTTCAAACACCCTTCAAAAGAACAGATTGTTCATTTCTTAACTAGTTTGTTTACCCAAGATCACTCCATTAGTATGAGGTAGAACAGGGTCCAGAATGAGTTGCAAGGTTCCATGCGCTGTGCTTTGTCTACTATGAATGGGACCATTTCAACTAGGTTCCAACACACTGAAACCTCTGTCCAAATGCTTTTAGTGTTAAGGTCATCTCTAATCTCCATCTCTCCTGCTTGACCTCAGGAACTAAGTTTCTGTTGCTCTTCTGAAATGAGTGCCCTTTTCAAGTAATTAAATTGTTATCTTATTTTTAAATGCTCTACACAAATTTGGATATTTGTCTTCAGTCTAAATGGTAATCAACTTCAGCCAATGAATTGCTTTCTTTTGGATACTTTGCTTAGGAATTTTTATTGGTAATTTTCATCTTTAACAGATGAAAGGCAGAATGATGCCTTTTAAAATACCTTTTTTGTTTTCCCTGTATATGAAACTGATAGATATGCATTATAATTATAAAAGCCCAAGTTTATAGTGGGTATATTTACTAACATGCCTTTTCTTTGGATTAAAAAGTAGTATATATTCATTATAGAGAAAAGAAACTGCAGAATATAAAATGAAAGAATATAAAATACTCTTTGAGTCTGTTTTCATGCATGTATATATTGAAAAGTGTAGTAGCAATATGAGTATCAACCATATTTATTGGGGACTAACAACCAGTCAAGGAGTGTATTGCTCTGCTCAGTAACCCTGAGAAACAAGCAATTATTCTTGAAAAGGAGAGAAGGAGGTTCAGCTGGTGTACCTACCCATGGTTTTACAACTAGTAAGAGGCACATATCAGGACTTGTCATTTTCTTCCATGACACCCCACATCAGCCACCCTCCCCCATGTGGTGGCCTACCTACTGACCCCTGCTCTGGGGTTTTTGTGCCTGCCCTCTCCCTCTTCGCAGGATGCTCCTGCCTCACCTAATGGTTTTTCATGAAGGGATGAAATGTGACAGTGTTTTGTTTGCTTATTTTCTCCATTAAAAATTTTTTTTTCACAATTTAATATCCAGATTAGCTATGAAAATTTACATAATTACATTATCCTTTTGCTTTATCTGTTACAAGGAATATACATTTTTGAGAGTACACAGTATTTTTTATGCATGATAGGCTAGAAGCAGAAATTAGTGTTGTTATTTTTTAGATGTTGTTGTGCAGATATAAAATCCACTCCTGCTTTCCATGGTTTCTAGCTGAACTGTGTCAGGAATAGCATAATCCATACCCAAAGTCTACTTTTAGAATACATTTTCTTATGAAGATGTCATATTTGATTTCTGAGATAAATCTTCTTGCCAGTCCTATTGGAAATAAAAATAAACAAACAAAAATAAAGCAACCATTATTTAATGCCAACTTTTCTGTTTCCTTTTTAAAACACAAATAGCAAAGAACCTGTAGAGGGACCTGAGCTTGTACTGCTATCTGAAATCTGAACTTCATAGCACTTATGAAAAGGAAACAGTTTAGCTCAATTTATAATAATATATTGGTCTGCAGAGGAAGTGCAGACTGAACCCCGCTGTCTCAAGTAAATTCTCCAGGGGTGTGTGATGGGGAACGTGTCGGGTGCCTGTAATAAATCCACTGCCCGTGGAAGTAAGTGAAGGCCCTGCTGGCAGTGCCCGAGGACACGCTTAGCTGGGGTTGTCACGGTTTTACTTTTAAATTGGAATCTTTGCCCTAATCTCAGAGTTAGACATGACCAGATTTGCAAACAGATTTACAATTTTCACTAATTTTCCAACTAGGACTTCAAAACACACTTAAAGAAACAAAACCCACTCTGGTCTTTCTCAGGGTTAGATGATTTACTTCACCACAGATGGTTTCTATAGACTGCATGTAGCCAGGGAGTTAAGAGACTTAAGAGTAGCTCGGAGCCAAACTGGTTTGCCTTTTGTGGAACAGATTATACAGTTCAAGGGACATCAACCACTTTATGTTCATTAACTAGGAGCTGGGTGTGGAGGTGGGTGTTTCAGGACAAAGGTGAGTGGTAGGTAAACATTTGGGGCAAACCCCACTAGTCCCTCCTAATTTATTATTATTATTATTTTGAACATGTCATTATTTATAGCTATTGTCTCTGGTATCTTTGCTTTTACTTCTTTAAGCCAAACGAAATCTCACTTTCAAATATCTGTTGTTTGTATAACAATCAGTTGAAAGCTTCAGTTACCAAGTAAAAATTACACTGTCAACACAGAAACACATAACAAGACAAAACAATAGAAATGGAAATGCATAGCATTTCTGGTTTGTTTTGCTACCTCCCAGAGTATTAAAAAGGTGGTAGGGTTTTCTGTCAGGTGACCAGGACGAGCCTCTCTGCATTATATATGGATGACTTCTGTGTCATCCATGAACAATAGGTTTTGTATTTTGTGCATTGTAGACAGATTGTGTACACATAATGTGTAGACAGAAATTCTGAGATCATTAACAACTCCTGCAGTTTTTGCTTCCTTTGTAAAAATCAGTGCTTTAGGATGCTTCTGATACTGGGAGTCAAAATAAGAAGATGGTTGTGCTGTGCTTGGTAAGCTGCATTTGTAAGTCAAACTTAGTACAAAGATTGGCCCCGGGGCCCTGGCATCATGGAGAAGCTCTGAGGCACGGAGGTGGTAGGAGAGTGCTAAGTGTCATCCTCTTATCCTGCTTCTTGTCCTGAGTGCTGGCAGCTTTGCACCTCATGGCACTGTAGGTATATTGTCATAGCCACATAAAGAAACTACAAGAAGGGGAAATCTCATCAATTGGTTCTTGAGGGTGAAAAAAGTTAACGGCTGTCTCAGGTGGGATCAGGCTCTGTGGTAACCATTCTTACTTTGTTGGA